ATTATACACAGTGAAATTAGCCAGAAAGAAAAAGGAAAATATTGGTTTCACTTATAGGAGGAATGTGAGGGAACCAATAAGGAATCAGAAAGAAAAATTGTAATAGTTAAAAAAAAATTAGCAGACAATGATTAATGGGAGACACTTTGCAGGGGGGAGGGAGAGGGATTAAAGCAGGGGAGGGAAGAGCACGGGTGACCTGGTGGTGGGAATTGTACAGGGATACACCTGAGAGGATGAAAGCAAACATCGTACAAAAAGGAAGAATGATGTAAAAAAAATACATATAAATATATACGTGTACATTGAATTCATTCATTCATTCATTAAGCAAATTCTTAAAAATAATTTTTAAAAAACCTAACTCTTGAAAGCAGACTACGGAACTGCGGGATCCAGTGGACGGGCAGCGCAAGAGGGCGCCGCGGACAGCGGTGGTGGACCGTGGCACACTGATCGCGGGCGCCCTGGGGACACCTCGAGTGGGGTCTAGACCCCTAAATCATAATGATACAAACCAACATCACTTCAACTAAAACAAAACTCACTGAGTTCGAGCTAAACCCTCTAGACCCAGGATCTGGGGGAGCGCCATCCGCGTCAGACTTCTGCAGCGTGCGCGTGCTGGAGGTCACCCTGAGTCTCTGAGCTGGGCTGTGCGTGCCCGGGACCCCACGGAGCGCGTAACCACTCCGGTGTCTTGATGCCACCTTAAATCTTGTGGCGTCGCTCTCCCTTTCGCACTCAGCGGTATCTTCCAGACGGTTCCTCCCAGGAGATCGTGGTGATCATCACAGTCATTCTGTTTTAATTCTCAAGCACATAATTGGCATCCAATGAGTGTTTGTTAATTCAATGTCAGAAGAGGAGCCTGACCTTGCTCTTTTCCTGCCTCTCTCTCTGCAACCGGTCATTACCCGCCCCCTGCACTACCCATGGGAGTCCCACCAAAGTGAAGAGAACTTACAGCTACAACTGTCAAAGAAGTGGCATTTTCCGACTTCCTTACTACTAGGCTTACTCTGAGAGCTGAAAAACCTATCCAGTAGGTACTGTTTATTTTTCCAGACAGAAAATGAAGGCTTCAAGAGTTTCAGTAACCTCCCCCAAGTCACAAATCTGTTAAGTGATGACGGCAGAATTTAAACCTCACTCATTTGACTTAAGTCAGAGCTCTGGACCCCTGTATTCTATCCCACGCTATTATTTTTATGTCTGCTGTTTCTTTCAGATACAATAGCAGTGGCTACATTGAAGATATTAATGTAAACTTCATAGTGTGGGAAATACATGGCAGGAAAGACTATAGCTTTAACAATACTATGAAGAAGGTATGACATCTCTTAGCTGAAATGGAATTTTGCTTGTGTTTGGTGTGCCTTTCTATTTTAAAGCAGTATATAACTTATCTAAGGAAAATAGCGCAATCAACTGTGTGTGTGGGAGGTGGTGCCTCTATATTAAACTCTATTATACTGAAATTCATTTATGAAAAAGTCATTGTCATATAAAACAAAGAAGTCAGAGAAATAATGTTTATAGTAGGGTGATGTAGTTGTAGATGAATATTTTACTACCTCTCCATGCTGTATTCATTGTTTCATTCTAGATGGGTCTTCCTTTGACTTTTGAACATTCATCACATTTGTATTAAATCAAGCAAACACTCTCTAGAATTTGTCTCACTTCACTCCTTTGTCTCCATAAGCTCATGGTTTTCCTCCATCATCAAAGGCCGATCAATCTCAACCTCCTCGTGAATTATCTTTATTCTGCCCTTTAACTTTTACAACACAGAAGAAAAGGCTTACCGCTCCCACTCACCACATTTCACCTCCCTTCGTGTAAGATACTCTACCCTGGAGGGCTTCCATCTTGATGAAGCCTTTCTAGAAGTTACCAGTGTTGGTTCCCGAGATTCCGCAGATTGCCCACACAAGCAAAACCAGGGACGACTCCTTCCGAAGTAACTTTGTCATCTATTAAAGGCCTTAATCTCCAAAAATGCTTGCCTACCCAGAGAGCAGCTGAGACATGTTTGCACTGCAGTCACCTCCATCCTACTGCAAGAAGTGATTAACCTTCATTATATGGCCAAACACATCCATCCCACCTCACATTTATTCCTGCACTTGTTCAGCACCCAATATGTAAATCCCCCAGTCTAATTCCTCCCACAGTCCCATTCCCTACGTGATTCTTTGTTCCTTGTGCCTTGGTCCAGACTTCCAATATTTTCCATCTTCTCAAATCTTTCTAATATACCTTAAATATCTCTAGGTTCTTCTTTGATATACATGTTTAAAGGTATGTCATTTCTCTATTTTCTATCAAATCAAAGGTATTCTTTCCTCACCCATTTACTTAGGAATGAGCTGTGGTATTTATAATTTCCCGAATCACCAGTATCATTTCTAGATCATTGTCTCTCCCCTGTAAGGTGGGGCTCTTGTCATCTACCCCATCTCTACTTGTTGCGGTCCTGTATTCGGAATGCAGTGATTTCTACTCATCCTCCAAAATATTTTCCAGTTGACTCCTTAATTCTACCAGCTATCAAGTAGAGTTATTGCAGAGAAAAAGGAGTCTGGTCAGAAACTATAATTCCCAGCCCCATTTGCAGCGAGGTAGAACCACATTACAGAAACTATGTTTCATCTCCAGGATGAAGTGCTTAAATGGGGAGAACGGAGGGTGTCACATGCATCTACGTTGCTTCCCATTTCCTTTCACATGACAATATATTACAGCAATAATTAAGGATGGAGTAGATGAGAGCTGAATGAAGACGGTCCAGTGAGGGGACTTCAGTGAACCACCAAGCAGAAATATCCTGCATTCCTAATTCACCATGAGGAGAACCACCCAGAAGAACCCATTAACCTGACACATATGCCTTGAAATATGTGTGGTCAAAAATAACATCTTAATTAATTAATTAATTCTGAGAGTTGGTGTCTATTACTATAATGCAGCAGACTACCTTGATGAATATAGCTCCCTCTATATTAAAATTCAAAGTTCTCAGCCTTTAACCTCAATTCTTTAGCTCTCTCGTTTTCTCCCATTACCCTTCTGGCTCTCACTTTATCTGACACAGTTTAGGTATTCACTGTGTTAAACCATCTCCTTCACCCTCCCTAAGACTCCCATTTTTCTTCCCTTCTTCTCCAGTCTAACTTTGTGGCCTATGGTTCATCCTTCAACCACAGCCTTAGTAATATCTGTATGTAATTTTCCCCAGTGTTTCCCTGTTCACTGATATGCAGTTTCAAACAACAAACTTTCTTCTTAATCCATTCCTGCATTTGAGATCTTGGTGATTTTGGGAATAATAAATGTAATTATAATAACTGAACATAAGAACTTAACTATTGGGAATGGTGACTGAAAAGATAATTAATCAAGTGGAGGAAGAATCCAGAATTACACAAAAAGGAAAAACTGACCTCAATACAGAAAGAATATAATAGACAAGGGAGATTTATGGCTAAGATGTAAGGTTCTGAAAAAAAGAGAGGAAAGAGTATTAATGAGAAACAATCTTTAAAAATCTGTTGAAAAAAATTAAGGCACCAAAAAGTAGTATGCATTGACCAAAACACAAAAATGTCTAAAATTAAATCAAGTGACATCATCAATGATTACATTCACAAGTGGTTGCATTCACGAATGACATGATTGTGAAACAGTTAAAATTAGTGAGCTTAAGAAGTTCTCTACAAGTTTAATATAGAAAGTCAATCGTTTCTTTGTAGACCAGCAAATATTTAAATAGTACATTTTTTAATATAGAATTTTCAATAGCATCAAAACATATGAAATACTTGGGAAATTATTAGTATGCAAAATATTTTGACAGAGCGGTTGTTTACATGAAGCCCAGACATGGAAATCAATGACCAGGCTTAACAAGCATCTCCCACTAGAGGATGCCTGGGGGCCTCAGGTAAGAAAAACATCACCTTGCACGGTACTACCTTCTAATAACTGACCTGGAATCTCAGAATTAACAAAAGCTTGATGGAAATACTTTGCATTTAAATTTGGGTTTTTTTGTAAATCAGAGCCGATTATAATTTCAAAATACGATGTCTTATTTGTTTAACTTCCTGTTGCTCCTAAGTAATAACACTTTTGCTTTCATCTCTCTTGTTTTAAGTCTGTATCTCAACGTTATTAAGTACCTGACAAACATGTAAATGTGCTGCAAGTGAGTTAAAGAATGACTGGTTCAATTCTTGTATTACTGAAAGATCACTTCCTAATTCAACTACCCATCTTATCATGTTCTCATGATTTTTTCAATAGAATTTTCCTGAGTTGAAATCAATTTATATTATTTGGAGAATCAGGTTATATATCATAAGTAAAAAAGGGATCTAGAAAGTATTTAAGATTTATTTATTCATGCTTGCAGAACTGGGGTACAGGCCAGAGGTGTTGTGGGTGAGAGGATTCACCAGAGGCAGAACAGGAAGCAGAACAGATAGACTGAAATACACTGCTGAGGGGAGCAGCAGGCAGGTCAGAGGAGGTCTGCCGCGCCATGTGGGTCAGCTCCCGGGCCGGGGATTAAACTCGTGCTGCAGGAGCTTCGGAGAGCTTCATAATGCTTTAACCGTTGTGTCACCAGGGAAAGCCGGAAAGCATTTTTTATAATAATCTTATTTTGCTTCTACATTCACGTCCAGCCAGAGATATATACGAATAAAGAGTGCTATCCTTTGTATCCCCAGATCCAAATAGCCCACTTCCCATCATTCAGTCCCTGTCTTTCCAGCAACTTGATCCTAGGAGCTGTTCATGAACAATCCTCTGAATAATACTTCAACTCCAACATAACATTCAGTCCATTGATGCAAACACCCTTAAACACCTCCAAGTTCTCTTTTCCCTCTTTCTTCAGATGAAATTCCATGCTCAGTAATTATATGTCCCCTCAAATTTTTTGGCCCCACTTACTTCTTAGTTGTGTCTAAAGCACAACCCTGATGAAATGCAACAAGGACCTTAGCAGTTGGTTGTGATCAGGGAAACACAAGCCCAAACTGAATTGCTCCACTTTAATCGCATGATTAAAAACTGTCACGAAGTTTCATTTTTTAAAATCAAAATTTAGCCTCTAAAATTCTATGCAGCTCTAAAAAGTTTTAGGTGAGAATAACTACTGCATCTCCAAATAATTTTCCAAGATAAATATATCAGAGTATGATTGTACTTATTAAAATCAGAAAAAGACCTTAATGTTTTTGTCTTTGCTTCCTGTCCAGAACTATAAACACTGTTTTTCTTATGCAATTGGAAAACCAGGAGACTTAAACCAACCATATGAGATTATCAACAAGTCTAACTATAACCATTTAGTGTGGCCTGTGGATCATGCTGGCATGTATGTGTTCAATGTGAAGATCCTGGATCCAAACTACAGGTGAATATATTTTACTGCATTGCTGTCAGTATTGGTGTTTCAAAATTAAGTTGTTACTTCTTGGATTTCATTTGCTGTCATCCAAATATCCAATCAGTGTTATTCTTATTTACTATTGTGACTTATTATTTATTTTATGCAAAAGCTCATATTTCCCTTTTCATTTTATAGTATTCACAAACATTCTATAGAGATAGAAGATTCATGTTCAACATCAATCACATTTAGAATCTGAGGACTTTACTATTTTTTATTGCTGCAGTGAGGCAAATATAACATACAATCTGCCTTCAAAGTGACAAGGAAGAGTGAGGATTCAAGTGCAAACCAAAAGAGGTTAAGTCAGAGGGGGAACATTAAATATTTTTCAAAGGTAATCATTTGTAATTTTGATGGGCACAATACGTCAAAAATGGGCAGGAACAATACCATTTTGACCAAAACTTCCTGAAGAATATGGGACATTACTGAAATTTACATGACCAGAGTTCTCGCATAGACCCTTCCGGGGAAAGATAGCTCACTAGTGACAGAGTAGAGCTGAACAGCAGCACTGCACACAGGCACGGAATCATGACGAAGGGTGGAAGAAAGCCTGAGTGAGAAAGGCAGAAGACTGGAAGCAGAGGAATTCAAGGCGGTTTAAAGTGTAATTGCAAACCATGGCCTTGAGCGTTTCTTAGTGTGTGTGCCAGGAAGGGCTAAGGATAAAAGTGCTATTCTGAGGACATCAGCCTAAGAATAAAGTATGTTATACCATAACAATATCAAAGAACGACACAGATAAATGTAAAGAGCAAACTTAAGGCAAGAAGGGAGGTCTGATGGGACAACAAGTGAAGACAGAAGAAAGTCTCGATAAATAGGCAGCAGGAAATAATAGATTATCACGAGCTAATGTGGCAAACGAAGGGGAAGGGGTCATGGTGACCTCACGTTTTCTAGGCTCAGTGATTACAAATTATGGTATTTTTCTTTCACCAAAATGGCTAATGTCGTAGTTTTCCATTGGGTAAGTATTAAGACACTTGTTTTTGACAGGACAATAAAACACTGAATGAAGTTCGCCTATAAATAACTAAAAATTATAATCTGTGCCTTCAGTTGAAGGGAATAGCTAGCTGAGGATAAAGAGTTGAAAATATAAATATGGGTGTCCTATGATGATTCTGTGAGCACACATAATTAAAATATAAAAGGAGCAGAAAAAAGATGTAAGAGATAACCACAGTTAAGGAATTGAAGGTTATGAGAAAAAGAACGGGTAGCAAGTTCTTTCTTTCTTTCTTTCTTTTTTGCATTATACAAGAAACACTGTTTATTCAAGAAGACTGAAAAAGAGATTAACCTATATTGAAACTAAAAATGGAGTGGGGAAGGAGGAGGATAAGAAGGAGGAAGGGAGGGAGGGTAGGAAAGGATAGACAGATAGATAGATATTTAATTTTCATTCTTGATTATTGTTCACGATATGGGGGTTCTCCCCTCAGTGTGGTCCCCATAGTTTTCCCAACCCCAAGCACTGAGAGAACCCCACTGTTATCCCTTGTGCTCTCCTCTCCCCTGTTTTCTCCCTCCCATCTCGCCCACTCCCACCCCACCCCCCTTCTGAATGATCTTCTTGCAAAAGGTTACAGGTGACCCACCCACTCTTCAGTGCTGTCACTTAATGATTCAGGCCCCAGCTTGGGGAAGGAGGAAGTTTGAAGTGCTTGAAAGCCTGAGCTTTATAAGTAGGCTGGATTAGGATTTATATCAGCTGGAAATTTTTGCCCAATCTTTTATCCAAGGGTAGGGAGGAATATTTCCATAGAGAATTTCTTTAAAGGGCTCATGACAAGGTAGGATAAAATTTCTATTTTACTCTAAAATGTCCAATAAATAACTTATGTTAAAATAACTTCACATAAAATAGCATCACATAATTCAAGAGGGAAGAATATTAATAGAAAGGATAAAAGGTCATCAAAGCTGGGGATGACGGTTATATATTAAGAATTAGAATAAATGTGTAGAAAGTTAAGAAGGGGCTCCCCAAAGGGTTTGTGGGAAGATGGTGAGATGATCCCATCTTTTATTTCCCTTCCCTTCTTTTTTTTTTTTTAATTTATTTATTTGTGCAGGCCAGAGGTGCAGGAGTGTTGAGAGGATTCACCAGAGACAGAGTGGGGAGCAGAACAGGCTAACTGACGATGTCCACTGCTGAGGGGAGCAGCGGGCGGGTCAGGAGAGGTCACCTCCGGGGCCGGGGATGGAACTCGTGCTGAAGTGGCCTTAGCCTCCTAGAACAGTGTATTAACCCACTGCACCACCAGGCAGGGCCTCCCTTTCCTTCTTAATCCCCTAAGTGAAGACACATAATTAAAGTAGAGGAAAAAAATCTTTCTCATACTATATCATCTGGAAAATTTAGAAAGCTCTTAAACACAGACTTCAAGTTTTGTGATAGGAAATTTTTACTGATGAGAACCAAAGATCTGCTGGCCAGTCATCATCAATCTGCCCACGAAGAGAAGCTGCTATACAGCAGGTTACACACCCCCTTGCAAGAGTCACCTTCGCTAGCCTATCTGTTTTCTACACCCTAAGCCACTCAGCTACCCAGGAAAAGCCTTAGAAGTTCCTAAGAGGAAATCACCTATACTCATGACATGTCTCCTGGGATCATCCCAACATCCATCACAGCAAACATCTCTCTCTGAGGGAAACTGCTAAGTGCACAAAGATAAATACCAGTAGAAAACACAATTCCCACTTCTAGAAGTTCCGCTGGAAATGGACCAAACCTATAGTGAAAGTCTGCAGTGACTTAATTCTGCTGCAGTCCCCAGAATGGCCTGGGTGGTCATTCTGTGACCAGGACAGTAAGTCCATGACACCGTGGACTTCCCTGGCAGTTACTGCTTCAGGCCCATGAGTCACTGGTGCCTCCAAATTACACTGTTGTGGCACTGTGGACATTGTCCACACTTTCTGGCAGTGGCGGGGGATACCAGACATACCTGCCGTGAAACAGGTTACACGAGCTAATTCTTTCAGTTTGCTTGAACAGAGCAAACCTCTGCTTGTATGAGGAATCCTCAACTGATTGCCATCAGCCTGCTTCAGAAAATCATGGGTGGCCAATGAACTCTCCCTGGTAGAGGCCGCTCGGCACATATGACACACGCCTCCTGCAACGGGTTCCACACATGACCACCGCCATCTTCGGCAGTGGCTTCCACGAGCCAGCAGCGACCTGCCTCAGCTGGCATGACCTTGTTTGCCCTTCGTTGCTATTTTGAGTAGCACTTTGAGGGGGAAGGTTATCCTACCGTTCTTCAGAGTCAGAGCCCAGGAATAGAACTCTTAATTCAGGCTCCACAAATACAGAGAACTTTATTAGCTAAAAATACAAGTGTGTCTAACTCAGTTAGGAAACAATGAAAAACATCTGTTTTGATACATGAATCAACTGAAGTGTTACCATACCGAGACATCAGGACAAATGCATATGATTCACAAGGACTAAAGAAACACGAAACAATATAAAATGCATATGCTCAGTGAGAGATTATTTCAATGTCTATACCAAAGCAGGAAGGTAGGGGAGATTAATTACAACGTTGTCTTTTATTTGCAACCAAATAAAAGTACAGATTTTAAAACAATTTTGTTATGAACAATTTCAAATCTATACAAAAAGGTAAAGAGATTAGTATCATGAGATACATGAACTCATAACCCTGCTTCAACATAGGGCTTCCTGAGAATGACATTGAGCTAGAAAAAACAGCCTGTAATCTGAAGAAAACAAACAAACAAAAAAACACAGAAATACATGAAGCCATGAATCTAAATAGTCAATAGAACCTTAAGTAGACTACAAAAAGAAAGAAAGAAAGCATCCTACTTACTGGAATTCAAAAAGGAGACTTCTGTTGCTACCTGGGCTGTATCATAAGAGAAGTTTTCACATAGGGGAATATAAGATCAGAAGAACTCAAACTGATTTTTAAAACAAATAGTTTTTACTCTAAAATATAATTATCTATGTAAAGCAAAGTAGTAATAAGTTACTATGATGTTTTGCAACATATTTAAAAATAAAAGACATCAATAATGCAAGTAGGAGAGAGTAATTAATAGTGTTGTAAGAGCCTTATACATAGAGATATAATATTTGCCAGTAAAGTGTTATAAACTAATGATGTCTATTGCAATACTGATAACATTAGAAAAAGAATCATAACCATAAAAAAGCAGTAAGGAGATAAAATGAAATCATTAAAAAGTCTTTATTAATACAAAAAGTACAGGAGAGAGAAATAAGTGACATAAAGAAAACAAGTAACAAGATTGTGGAAATTAATTCATATATACCAGCAATTACATTAAATACATGCATTCTAAATACCCCCAATCAAAAAACAGATTGTCCTAGTGGATGAAAAAAAAAATCAAGAATTAGCTATCATACAAACCATAACCCATATTAAACACAAAGACAACAGGCAGGTTAAAAGTAAAAGTCAGAGGCCCTCCCTGGTGGCGCAGCGGTTATAGCGCAGCACTGAGAAGCTAAAGCCGCTTCAGCAAGAATTCAAACCCCGCCTGCCCGGGAGGTGACCACAGGGCGCGGCAGACCTCTCCTGACCCGCCCGCTGCTCCCCTCAGCAGTGGACTTCGTGGATCTGCCTGTTCTGCTCCCCACTCTGTCTCTGGTGAAGCCTCTCGCCGCCCCGAGCCTCTGGCCTGTACCCCAGTTCTGTATGCACAAATAAATAAATCTTAAAAAAAAAAAAAGAAAAAGTCAGCAAAAGATATACCATGCTAACACTGCGTCGAACGAGTGACTGCACTATCAGATAAAGTAGAATTCCGAACAAGGAAAGGATAAAGATGACAAAATAATCTTAAATGTGTGTGCACCTTCCAAATACATAAGACACAAACTGATAGAACTAAGAGGAAAAATAGACATTCCTGTAGTCATGCATGGAGACATAACACTTCTCAGAGAAGACAGAAAATCCTTGCACCATCAACTAACTCAATACAATGAACGATCATAGAGCCAGAACCAAAAGCCTCCAAAGACACATTCCTTTCTCTAAATAAGTAACATTTGCTTCTGTTCACCCTGATAACACTAGGATTCTCTCCAGGCTCCCGACTCACCACCAGGTCACCACAGTGCTCCCCACTTCCTCCCCTCTTCTGTCCCAGTCCCACCCCTGCTCTCCCCACTTTGACTGTCCAGTGCTCTAGGCATTTTTCAGGGGTATCGTCCAGGTTTGTCTTTCTCTGGTAGTTAGATTGTTTTCTCCATAGTCCTCTTACTAGTGACACCACCCGGTATCGCCTTTCTGCTCTGACTTACTTCCCCTATCATGACCTCTTCCAACTCCATCCATGTCACCGCAGACAACACAAAATTCTCTTTTGACACTGCTGTGTACTCCAGTGTCCCTAAGTACCAAATCTGCATACTCCTCTCTCTTGGGGCATTTAGGCTGTTTCCATAACTTGCCTATTGTAAACAGGCTTCGGCGAATGGGAATACAAACTACTGTCCAATTAAATTCAAAAGCAATCATGACTCCCTGTGCAAAGAGGATAAAGTCCAGATCCCTAAGCCTTTCTTTAAGCCCCCAAGCAGCAGCCACACCAACCCGCTGCTGCTCTGCTCTGTGTGCACCAAGACGCTTCATTACCTTTGATAGACATCTTTACGCCAGAAGTACCCTGGCCTGGCAAACTCTAGCCCTTCTTCTCTGTTCACTTAAACTCCAGGAGTATTTTAGGGCCCACCCTGTGACTTTTTGATTAGCCTTGGCCACTGATACAAGTTCCCCCTGCTATCTGAAAATAGACCAGGCTTATACAAATTTTCCTAAGTTGAAATGGCATAAAGCAAAGACATGATTACCAAAACATATCCTATAAAATCATTCCAAACGGTATATAAAATCTAAAATAACCCTAACACATTAAAATTCCGGAATAATGCAATAAACATGCACCAGCATCAAGGTCATTCCAGGACCTTGAGCTGCGTGGGCTCACTCTCTCCGGGCTGCGGGCTCCCTTGGACTTGCTGAATCAGAACGGAGGCTGATCCCTATTATACTTTCACTTTTTGTGGAAAAGCAGAAATTCTCATGGGATTTCTTTCAGTTAGTGAAAACAAGGACTTCCAGAAAACCAGAGGAGCCATGCAAACTTCCAAAAGTTAGTGCCCGAAATTGCTTTGCTGTGAAAATTCCTGTGTCTACACCATTCAGAACTTACAGTTCAGAATTTTGTGATATTCTCTGTGAGTTGTTGTGTACATGTAAATTCCACAAATTGGTATGATGGTGGAGAATCTTCTTTGGTTTGAATCCTAATTTTGCCACTAGTAGCCATACAATCTTGAGCAAATTGTGTGACCTCTTTGAGTGTGATTATTTGTGAAGTGGATCAATAATACCTACGTTATAGCATTCTGAAGGTTAAGTGAGGTAATGCTCAGGAAAATTCTGTCTTTGCCGAGCTCATAACAGTCAATAAAAGTAAGTTTCCTTCTTCTTTATTCTCCCACATGACAGTAGGTGACATTATGTCACAAGGATTGAGTTATATACTGTATCATTCCAAGCAGTATACTAAATTATGAGGATGCCAACAACTTTAGAAATGATAATATAGTTCCCTATATCAGGTTACTAACTCTGAGCTTGTTGAAGGAGTCGGCCACAGATGCTGGGTTCAGAAAGATCTGAATTCACATCATAGCTTTGCTACTCACAACTGTATAAACTTTTGCAAGTAGCTTACCCTTCCTCATTTAAAAAGAAGGGTTGCAGGCCCTCCCTGGTGGCACAGTGGGTTAAAGCACAGCACTGAGAAGCTAAAGCCACTTCAGCATGAGTTCGATCCCCTCCCCGGGGTGACCCACAGGGCGCGGCAGACCTCTCCTGGCCCGCCCGCTGCTCCCCTCAGCAGTGGACTTCATCGATCTGCCTGTTTTGCTCCCCACTCTGTCTCTGATGAATCGTCTCACCGCCCCTGCGCCTCTGGGCTGTACCCCAGTTCTGTATGCACAAATAAATCTTTAAAAGGAAAAAAAATATATATATATATAAAGAAGGGTTGCTATGAGTAGTAATTAAGAAAAAGCATGTCACACACTTGGTATACTGTCCACTGCACATTCAATTCTTGATATTTTACAAAATATTAATGCTCAGTAATGTTAAGCATTTCTTATTTCTGTCCATATTATTGTTAATTAATAGTAATATCTTTATTGTGTGTGCCTGGGAACCAGCATCCAATAAGTACCTATGTCTCCAAGTGAGCGGCAGTGTTGTAAAACAATGTTACCTCAATAATGTAAAAAAATATATGAAGCTGTTAGGAAGACAGTGAGGTCCCACTGACAATTTCTAAGGAATCTGAACCAGCCTAAATTCCATCCAGGGAGGTCGTATCGCCACTATGTAAAGGTTCTGCTTCTAGCCATGGTCAAGATCATGGTGTTTTAACTAAGATTATATAGAAGATTTAACTAGATGCTACTTCATTTCGTCTTTAACCTTGTTCTTCAACTTTGCAGCTTCTGTAACCTAACGGCCACATTTGCAGTAGAGACCATTGGCATGATTCCCAGGTAACGCCCAGAGACAGGGGCACAGCTAACAAGGATCAGCACCTCTCCCGCTTGTCTCCCCAAAGCAGCAGCCACTCTTCAGAATCCCCGGGATATATCTTATTATGCATATTAATAATTTATGCAGTATGACAGAGGTGAATCCTACAAAGAAGGGGAAAAAATCTCTCATGAAATGTGCATGGCCACACCAGAAGCTTTTATAAATCTTTTATTTAGATAAAGGGGTACCTATGAAATCTCTGGGTACCTATGAAATCTCTTTTCCTAGATGACAGGCACCTGTTATCTTCTTGGAACCTTAATACTTCCGCCCTAGATGTGATCTTCTAAAAATTGCAAGTGTGTATTCTACCAGGGAGATGGCGGGAAGGAATTCCTGAGCAGTGTTACTGCGGGGGGGGGGGTCCCCCTTTTCCTGCTTCGCTTTAATTGCCACAGTCTTCCCATCAAATGTGTCTTTCAACTCCACCCGGGGGACAGAGGTAGACAGCCGCAGTGAGGGGACTGGGCAGGGTCACTGGCGGTGCCCTGCCCCCTGACCGTTGGTTTGATGCATCCGGGGAAACAAGCAGTAAGTGTTATCTCTCTAGTCTTGATGACACTTCTTTGGCGAGCAAAGGAAACTCTTAGCCCAAAATTGGGGCCACAGCGATTTTGCTTGTCTGTCTCGGGCCTGGTATTTTGTTTTGTTTTTGTATAATGTTAAACAAACATGGGAGACAAAAAAGTAAGTTCCTTAACACCCTACTTTATATATTACTGATTCCTTGATTTTTGTGTGCTAATGGAATGTCATGGATGCAAATAACCTATAACTCATACATAGGTAACAACATAGGTAAATCCTATGTTGTTTCTGAGTGACTGGGAAAGACACACAGTGCTTCTGTAGCAGCCTGCTCCTCAGACGAAAGTTCCTGTGATTGCTGGACCATCCTCACTGCCTGAATCCTGACACATGGGAGATGCCCTTGATCCTTCACATTCCTCAAATTCCACATCTTAACGGTCACAGGTTCAATCCACTCTCACTGCCGAATCTATCTCAGCTCTAACAAACATCTCTGCATCGCTTTGGCTACTAACTTAAGACCCTCATCTTGCTGTTATTCTTTTTAAACTCTTCAAAGCTGTTTATTTTCTGCTTCCCATCCGTCTCTTGCTTCCCACTCATCCGTTCTCCACACTACAATCATAACCTCCTTCTGAAATGAAAATTCTAGATCATGTTTCTGAAACTCCCTCTAGCTCCTAGGCTATACGCTATTCGTTGATAGAAGCTGTCTTTGTCATTTCTTACCACCCAGAATTCCTCATCTCAAACCGCTCTATCTCCTACCTGGGCTCGAGTCACACTGAACTAGTTCTAGTTCCAGGAAGTCTGGGGGTGCACATAAGGTATCCCCATGTCCCCATGCTTTTGCCTAAAGCCAACTCATGAGTGGGGCACCGCCAGCGACCTGCCCAGTCCCCTCACTGCGGCTGTCTACCTCTGTCCCTTGGGTGGAGTTGAAAGACACATTTGATGGGAAGACTGTGGCAATTAAAGGGAAGGAGGAAAAGGGGGACCCCCC